AACCGGTGGTTTTCAAACTAAATTTACTGAAAATTTATTTTTTTGGAAACCTTTTACCTCAAGTTCCTTATCCTGCGGTTCCGGAGCTGCTTGCGCTTCTTGAAGTTTCTGAAAGTTACACGTCGACAAAGAGAGAGAGAGGGAGAGAGAGAGAGAGAGAGAGAGAGAGAAATATTTCCAAACCTACTTGATCTTCCTGTTCTTCTGGATCTTCCGGATCCTACGAAGCTTCCGGTCTCCGCGATTGTCCCTGATTCTGTAGATGCGCTCTCGCCTTTGCCTGGCCTTCCTTCGCTTCAGAATCTGTCGCATATGCTCCCTCTCGGCCTTGATCTTCTTTGGGTCTTTTGGCATCAGGTTTTTCTGAAAGAAAAAAGGCTTAGTAGCTCTAAAAAAGTAAAAGCAATTTAGAGGTGCCATTTTGTAAACCCGAAAAACCTAAAAATTGTCGCCTAAAAACCCAGCAGTTAATAGATACCATTCCCCTGGTGATCGAGTTCAGCTCCAGGTAGTCGTCCCAGGCTCGTTTATGACGGATTAAAAGCTGGATAGAGTTATTTTTTAAAATACAAATAAGCTACCGTATTTCCGGTTATCTGCAGGTCATTACCATCTGGATTTATCTGAAAAAAAGTGTATTTCAGCCCGAAATGATCTTTCCTGGTATGTTTCCAAGCAACTATGCCTCAAGGAAGAGGTCCTCTGCTAGCTGAGCAGCTGATTTTTTTTAAAGGGATGGAGCCACCATTTCACGAATTCTCATCATAACCCCAAATTGCTGAAGGGTCTATGCTAGCTAACCCTAGGTTAAAGATGATTTTCAATAGAAGAGCGAGCATTGGTTTCCCAAAGGATCTCGGCTAGCTGACCCACTTGAAGGGACCGGTACAACAGGTTTTTGCTCGAAATACAGAGCATTAGATGGAGGTTAGAGGAAGAGAGAGTGCGAGAGAGAGTGAGACTGAGAGAACAGGACAGACAGAGAGAGAGAGAGAGAGAGAGAGAGAAAGAGAGAGAGGGGGTAGTTTGACAAAATCTCGAATTACAAAATCTCGAATTACAGAATCTCGAATGACAAAATCTCGAATGATCAGAATCTCGAATGATTAGAATCTCGAACGATCAGAATCTCGAATTTACAGAATCTCGAATGACAGAATCTCGAATGACAAAATCTCGAATGGTCAAAATCTCGAATGATCAAATCTCGAATGCCAGGATTCCCACTGTATCCTAATCTAGTTTCGTCTGGCTCGATCCAGCATCGATTTTTTTTTTGTATTAGATAGAAGCTAGTAGGCTGTGAGTATGCCCTGCCGAGGGATGGCCTTTTTGAGCATCATACTTTACAAATGATAATGAAGAACATTAGCGTTAAGTCGAAAAAATTTGTTTTTTTCGACGCAAAGGGCTCAAATTCTTTCAATCTTTATTTTTTAGATAGTGTTGCTACAGCTATTGATTGCCAAAACCTCCATAGAAAAAGTTTGGGTTCAATTACTGGGCCGCTAGTGGAAATTTTCATCCAAACTGTGTTCTGCTGAATCGAAGTTTTGTTCATTCGAGATTTTGACCATTCGAGATTCTGTCATTCGAGATTCTGTCATTCGAGATTTTGTAAATTCGAGATTTTGTAAATTCGAGATTCTGATCGTTCGAGATTCTAATCATTCGAGATTTTGTCATTCGAGATTCTGATCATTCGAGATTCTAATCATTCGAGATTTTGTCATTAGAGATTTTGTCATTCGAGATTTTGTAATTCGAGATTTTGTAATTCGAGATTCTGATTGGCAAGCAGAGAGAGAGAGAGAGAGAGAGAGAGAGAGAGAGAGAGAAGGGAGTGCGCTAGCGATAGATACAGTGGGAGAGAGAGGGGGCGAGAGAGTGAGTGAGCGCCAGAGTGAAAGAGTGAGAGAGCGAGAGAGTGAGAGAGCGAGAGAGCGAGCGAAACATAATTTAAACTACCAACCTCCTCAGCGTTACAGTATACAAAGAATAGTCCCAAAAATATGGCGATAACCAGCCGGAGCATGATTTGATATGTAGCCGTCGACTAGCCGGACCACCTGACCACCGCGGGCTTTTATGAAAGCAGCCGGATAATCCAATTAGGATGCCAAAAACTAAGCCAATTCCAGGGGGGAGGGGGCTAAATTCGGCCGCAGCCACCGGCGCCAACCGGAATATCGCAAACCGGGTCGACCGGCTGACATTAGCATTTTATGGCTGTTTTATAGGTGGAGTGGGGGATTTTGGGGATATTTGGGAGAGCTCGTTGGATCGCTAATTGAGATTCGAATAGTTTTAAAGGGACACACAAGGCAAGTCGCTGGGGTTTTGCCCATAGATTCCCTATGGACTTTTCTCCGCTCTCGACACGCAACGCGTGCTGCACTTCACTTGCACGGCTTCAAGGCCTGTTGAGCCATTACGCAACGTAAATACGGGCGGGCGCGTCGTGTGTCGCTGATGCTGAAAAGAAGCTTGTATTTTTGGTGGATTTTGCCAACCAATTACGCGATACAATACGCGATAAAGATTTTGGTAAAGTTTACCGAATCCGACGCCTTCCCAGACCGTGTTTTTTCAAGATCGTCTTCTGCTCTTAATTAGGTGTCGTAACCGGCTGTAAAATTGCCCAGTTTCCAATTAGCAAAAAGGCAAAAACACTGCTTAAATTCGATCTGCGATCTGGTGGTATCTTTCTCTTCATCTTTCCCCCTGTGGTTTTGCGCTAATGGAATAAGGGCATACGCTTGATGCCGAGTTTGAACTGCGGATTTCTTGTACCTTTTAGCATAATGCTTGGGATTCTTGTTCCCAGACTTCCGAATCCCGTTAAGATCCAAATCTGCTTGTCTGGCAGATCTTTGGGGAGAGGGGGTTCTCATTAAGCTGCGGGGTACCGCAGAAAACTAGTTACTAAACCGCTTTTTTTGTCTCTGGAGAACAATCGGATAGTTGCGGACTGTGGGAACTGGCTAGGCTACAGCTTGTTTTTATACCGGGCCGTAGCACAAAAAAAGGGAGTCCGACAGGCATTGCTAATGCGGCTGGAAGAACGAGTTATAGCCTTCAATTAGCTTTGAGGTACTTTAAGCGGAAAACCTTACGGATACACTTGAAATACCTTAAGCTAAACCAGGAGGCAATTACCTAAAGTTTCCTAAAACCCTTTTAAAGGAACTATGAAGGATGGCCCCCTAGGCAGGATGGCAGAGATCCGTGAGGAAAGGACAAGAAAGGAAAGGCATAGGCTGAACGGGACCCTCGGGCATGCTAGCAGGGATTCTTTGAGGAAATAAAAATACCGAATGCCTTGTCCTAAAGGTTCTTCAAATTGTTTCGGGTGCAAGGGCAGGCTGGCAGAAACCATTGAGAGCCACTTACAAACAGACACAAATGTTCCTCCCATTTACAAGGAAAAGAAATAACAAAAACAAAAAATTATTCCCACGACATGGTGGTCCTTTAACCAAGGCTGATTCGAGCTTTACAAGCTTTGTTCTTTTGGGCAGCTCGGTCTCAATTTTTTGGAGATTATAGGCAAGCTAGCAGAAATTCTTCGCATTATTTTGGCTTCATGCCAAGACTCGACAAAGCGTGCCCCGTTCGTCGACACAGATCGGTGCCCTTGCTTCATTGGTCGGATAAAGATCTACATCTTTGGCATTTGCCCTCGGGGACATTACATTACCCCACGAAGGTACAATGCCGGACGCGGAACCGGAAACTGCGAGAAAACTCGTATTTTTGAGAGGTGAGAGCGGTTTAAGATTGGGAGATTAACGACTTTTGTTGACTAACAAAGCGACAAAAAGTTAGTTTCTACGGCTCTGCACTTACAAAAAATCCACAAACGCAAAATACACACCGATCCAAAAATGAAGGTAAGTGTCGAAAGTTCCCTGCAAATCGAAGCATTTTGTTCGTTACTTTCGACAGTAAGTAAGGCGAAGTCACAGAAACCAAGGCCCTGCAAAGCAACCCGAGTCGCAAAAATCAACCCCTAGAATTGAATAGCCCACGCGACAGCTACGTGATACCCCAAATGACACCGAATAATTCTACAGTAGATGCGTCTGATATGAAAAATTCAAGCGGCGATAAGAAGGTTTTGGAGCGCCACGTAGCTGTCGAGGCCTAGTTGAACAAGCGGCCGAATTTTGGAATTCCACTAAAAACATGGTATGGAACTTGGAAATCAAAGATACAAGCCAAGGACTTTTAGATCTGTCGGGTCTCGCTCTCTCTCACTCTCTCTGTCTCTCTCGCTCTCGCCCTGTCTGCTCATCGATAGCATCTATGGCAGGTGGTCTTATTCGACTTCCTGGTTTTCTGTATTTTCGGGATTTTAGGGCTGCTTCTCTCTCTCTCTCTCTCTCTCTCTCTCTCTCTTGCCTCAGCCCCTATTTGACTTTATGTTTTTCTGTTCATCGGTCCTTCTTTTTCTAGATCTTCCCCCTCCATTCTTATCCGCGCGATCCGCATTCATTACTAGTTTGTTGGTTCTTACCATCTGTCTGTCTGTCTGGCTGTTTGTCCCTTTGTCCTTCTTCCTCTAGATGGCATAAAAGACCGGCCCCCAGGGCGATCGGATAAAAGCCGTCGGTTCCGTTCCCCTCCTCAACACAACATCGCCCAAAGGCAGTCCCGGCCTCCGTTCGCCCCCTCCTTGTATGACGCCAATGTTCGCAACATCCTTAATACGTATTTAAGACTTTGCGTCGTTATATTTTTTTAATTCCTACTGTAGCCTATAGTTCTACGTTATTTTACCGTTTTTTTGCCGGAATTTTTCGGCGCTCTCTTTCTCTCTCTCCCTCTCTCTCACGCACTCCCACGCGCGCTCTTTCTCACTTTCTCACTCTCTCACTCTCTCTTACTCACTCTCTCTTACTCACCCACTCTTACTCACTCTCTCTTACTCACTCTCTCTTACTCGCGCACACTCCCGCTCTCTGTCCCTCTCTTCAAGTTCTAAACTAGTTTTCAGGATGAGGTGGGGCTTGTTGTTCCTCACCGTAGCGGCCCTCGTGGCCATCACGTACGCCGAGGAGGAACCCGAGATAACTCCATCACCGAATAGCCCTGTAGGCAAATTCCAGGCTCAAGAGTTTGACTTCAAAAATTTCAGTTCGCTGCCCAGCTCGAGCTGGCCAAGCTCGAGGCTCGTGCTGCCGCTAGGGTTGATGAGCTCAAGAGGAAGGAGGCTGAGGCCAATGATTTGGAGGTGAGAGAGAGAGAGAAAAAGAGGGAGAGTGAGCTAATGAGAGTGAGAAAGAGAGCCAGAATCAACCGCAATTCCGTTCAGCAACGCAAAGCCGCCTACCGCCAAGTGCGACTCCACAACCAGCGCAAGGCCGCCGCCGCTCGCCGTCGTGCCAAAGTACGCCATTTTAAAGAGCCGGATCAGCACAAATTTAGGCCGCCCAACGTCGCGCAGCCGCCCGCCGCGCCGTCACCGCTAAGCGCCGCGCGCACGCGAAACGCGTGGCGCACGCCGCCCGCGTGCGCAAGGCCACCCGCAGGCGCATAGCGATGAGGAGGGCTGCTGCTAAGGTATGGTAGTCTTTGGAGTTTATTAGATACACTATTACGGGTTTTTCGGTCGATTACGCGTTGCGATAAGGCGTAACCTACCGTACTGTATGCTTGCGTGACTTGAGAAACCTGTATGGGGGCATATGACATTATTCTACCGAAGACTATCTTCTCATGCCTTAAAATTATTAAATCTTTCTAAATACTATTTTTTTTTATTCCCTACTCCATCTATGAGCTAGAAGCGTAGCGATGCGTAGCGACGCTTAGCGATGTGTAGTGTGTAGCGACGTAGCGAATTAAAGTGAATAAACCCAGGAAGGTAGCCTAGAAAAATCGAAATCTTCGAAAAGGTATTTCAAGACAGCCTTTCGAACTTTCAGCTACCGTACTTTACACTGGACCTTGAATCTTGAAAGATTTCGAGCGTCCTACCGTAGGCTACCGGACTCCTAAACTTGATTTTTCCATTTTTTAGCGCCGTGAACAAAAGCGCCTCGCCCGCCGCCATCGCAACAACCGTCGCCGCGGACGCAAGAACCGCAATCATCGCGGATAGATGGAGAGAAACAGAGAAAAAGAGACGATACGACAAACTATCGGCAATATAATTTATTGGTGTGTAATGTAACTTATTCAGCATGATTTTTATCGCTGAATCCGGATAAAACGTGCTTTCTATTTTGTTAGTATTTTTAGTAAAGCCATCAAAAAAGCGCGCTGAAAACGTCAAAATCTCAGAGAGCCAGAGATAGCGAGCGAAAAAGCGAGAGAGTGAGATAGAGAGAGAAAAAGAGAGCGAGAGAGAGACAAGGGGGAGAGAGACCGTGAGAGTGAAGGAGAGACAGAGAGTGCGAGCGTGAGAGAGATAGAGGGTGATAGAGTGCTAGAGTGAGAGAGTGAGAGAGAGGGCGATAGGGAGAGAGAGACAGAGATAGGGAGAGAGACAGAGATAGGGAGAGACAGAGTGAGTGTGAGGTGTGAGAGAGTGCAAGCGTGTGAGAGTGAGAAAGGTATAGAGAGTGAGAAAGATATAGAGAGTGCGAGAGAGAGAGAGAGAGAGAGCTATAGACTGCGAGAGGGAGAGAGCGCACTTGAGAGGACGAGAGAGCAAGAAATACCGTATCCAAAACCTACAAAATTAATATGTTTTCTTGTTCAATCCGTTCGTAAATTTTGCAAAACACCGAAAAATTCTACTAAATAAAAAATAATTTATTAAAATTCGATCAAGGCAAGTAATATTGTGTGCGTGGGGCGTATTATGACACGGTGACTGGGCAATATTTTGACTATAATATGCACACAAAAAATAATACTTTAAAAATAGAGTTAAAAATTCACAGAATTACTTCTACATTTTACAATAATTTTTATATCAGGTGATACAGTGTGTGTCAAAACGATAGAGCCACCTCTTTGAACGCTATTATCTCGGCCCTCGTCGCATTTGACGCCAAGCCAGCTAGCAGGTCTTGTAGTGCTCGAAAAGACGCATTTTTCCATATACTTGAAGTTTTTCAAAAATAGAGCACGCGATTTTTATAAGGAAAAGAACAAATAGAGCCAAAAAACCGAAGTGTCAAAACGATAGAGCCACACTTTACATATCATTAGCATCAAGTTAAGCTTGCAAATTACATGCTAATTGCTAATACGAAGTTCAAATCTATGCAGATTGGCATCACCCTGGAAAATCCGGAGGTCAGAAATGGAAAGTCACTTTGAATGTTCATTAGCATGTAATTTGCAAGCTCAAACCTGATGCTAATGATATGTAAAGTGTGGCTCTATCGTTTTGACACTTCGGTTTTTTGGCTCTATTTGTTCTTTTCCTTATAAAAATCGCGTGCTCTATTTTTTGAAAAACTTCAAGTAGTTGGAAAAATGCGTCTTTTCGAGCACTACAAGACCTGCTAGCTGGCTTGGCGTCAAATGCGACGAGGGCCGAGATAATAGCGTTCAAAGAGGTGGCTCTATCGTTTTGACACACACTGTATGTGCCTAGCACACTCAAAAAAACCCAGAAAAAACACTACAAGTGAGAATTCAGCACTAGAAAGTGACCTGAAAAACGACAAAAAAAACGTAAATTAAATTTTTTTACATCATGTTAAATAAATTCAACCCGTCGCGCGTCGGACTGAACGTATGGAAGGCAGGGAAATATCGTGAAAATCTCAAAAATGGGTGGTAAAGCGATAATCGGTGCGTAATTTAGTGATCCTTGTAGTCCTTCTCGTTATCGTCGGGCTTTTCGTTGACGTAATCGTCTGAAATAGATAAAATTTGCATAGAAAAGAAAACGCCAGAAAGAGAGCGAGAGAGAGAGAGAGAGAGAGAGAGAGAGAGCGAGGGAGCGAGCGAGCGAGAGAGAGAAAGAGAGAGAGAGAGAGAGAGAGAGAGAGAGAGAGAGACAGAGAGAGAGAGAGCTAGGAAGATACCTTCAGCAGCCCGATCTGCCGGATGTACATCTTGCTCCTCCTTCCGTTGCTTCAGTTTGACCACCAGCTCGTGGGCGGGGATGATTTGGGCGGGCTCGAAGTGGATTTGATCACTGAAAATGGGGATTTTACCGTAATATTCCGAGTATACGTTCTCAATTCTAGGAAAGGTCGATAGCAGAGATTCCTTGCGGAAATTGGATTGAAAATGGATAAATATGTCTTCTCCGGATCCGTTTTTTTCAAGTTCGTGTATAGATAGCCGGTGTTCATTGCGGAAAACAAGACAAACAGGCAAAAAAAGTGTCGCAAAGCGTAGCCAGGAAAAGAGAGCGTCGTAGCAAAAACCCCTTGTGGAAATTTTTGACTACCGGGTCTCTTTAAAGCCACTTACCGGCTAAACTGCAGCTTGGCATCGGCCTTGTGATTCCTTGCAAAGTGCACCGTTTCATTCTGGACGTAGTAGCGGCCTTTGGATGCCCCTGAAATGACGACAATTTGTTTATTATTTTTTAGCTTTGTTTTCGAGAAATAAACATTTTCAAAACACTTGTTTGCGCGTATTTCTCATTGATTTTTATTGCAAAACCAGTGGAAAAAGACCGCTTCGCGGCCCTTTTCCACTGGACCCCGTCTAGGAATCATGAGTTCCCTTTCCTATTATTGAAGCCTGCGGCGCAAGAGCCTGACTCAAGGAACCATTCATTTGCCTGCGGCGCTAGCTACTGATTTTTCGCTCGGATTTAGCCTGCGGCGCGAAAGCGTAAGTCAAGGACCTTTTCTTTGGCCTGCGGCGCCAGAGCCAGCGTTGCGTTAGAATCTCTTAGCCTGCGGCGCTAGTTACTGGTTTTTCTCCAGGATTTAGCCTGCGGCGCGAGAGCCTGGGTCAAGGGCCCATCGTTGGCCTGCGGCGCCAGAGCCTGGGCCAAGTACGTTTTCTTTGGCCTGCGGCGCTAGAGCGAGGGCCAGGCCAAAACCTCGCACACCGAGACCATACAAATATGTTTTGTCGTTGAACTCTCAAAAGGCAAAAAGTTAAATTCGGCGCGGATTCGAACCCCGGGCCATGCGCTTGTTAGACCGGGCGCCAATCCACTACACCACGGGGCGATGGCGATGGGCGGCGGGAAAGCCCTCTTCTGTCCTGGGGGTGGGCCCACCCCGGGAGGGAGAACTTCTGGTAACTTTACAAAATTTTCTTTTTGTGTCTGGGTGCGGCAAAAATTTGCAAAAATAATAAGATGCGCGTGATCCCCACTATCGAATACATAAGTGGACCAAATTACAGACCAAAATTCCATCTGGGATTCGAGTTATGGCCCGGACACCACGGGACTGAGGACATTTTATTAAGGACCTTCTAGTAAATTGCTCATAAAAACTTTATTTTAAGGAATTTGGCAAAATCCAGAAAATAGTATCAGGAGAATTGCTTCTTCCATTCACCCTCCAAAAATCAGCGCCCAACTCCTCTTAGCGGCCGAGAAAACCTCCGGACATACCTTTTTTTCAGCGAAATGTTAAGGATTTTTCACTATTTTGGTTGTAAAATCGTCAAATGAAGGAATTTCGCAAAACAAAAAAATGCATCACTGACAAATGTGTTTCTCCACCTCCGTGCCAAAAATCAGCTCGAAATTCGGCCTGACCGCCGAGAAATCGGCTGTACAGAAAACACACATACTTTTCTCGCTTATAGGATAGGAAGGAAATCGTATGCATTTTTCAGAGGTTTATCATAGCTTTTACCGAGGCTACCTAATGAGATGCGAGGTCACGCCCATTTTTGTACGCCCCG